TATAGAGGGACGGATTGAATTAATGTAGTAATTCAGATTTTGATTTTGTTTGAAAATTTGGTATTTGAGAAAATTTTTGGTTTTATATTCTTCATTAATATTTCCGCTAGAAAGGGTGATTGAAAAATTTGTTTTAAAACTAATTCCACCAATATCATTAAATTGAGGATATGTAATAGAGGTGGATAATTTTGATTCAAGTAAAAGATCACTGACTAATTTGAGACAGTCTGAAGGGTGTACTGAGGGAAAGAGATTAGAATTTTCAAAGGAAACTAACAAAGAATCTGGTGGTACGATTCCTTGTTTCAATTTACCACCAAGGTCATAAGGTGTTTGTTCAAATGATGAAATATGTTCCCAGTTATTTAATTATTTTTTACGAACTTTTTCAACTTTCATTTTCCTCTTTATTGACTTTTCATATTAAATATTTATTTCACATTAGTTCTTTTTATGACATTATTTCGCAGTAAAATCGGGCACATTTATGGATATTACCCGAGTATAATCTAGGAAAGGGTTGTGATAGGTCTCATTTGATAAATAATGTGTACTTTGAATTTCGGTTTACAATTATGGTGTGAATAGCCCGATGTTAATAACTTTTTTCTGTTTTTCTCTCCCAAAATTTGATGACATTATCTGCAATTTTGCTGAGTAAATTGAATTCAAAATGTGCAAAAGAATACGCTCTATACATGTCGCCGTTTCTTTTGTTCTTTTGAATCATACAACTTGTGATGAATATTTCATTCGTTGTCAGATCGAGGGGCGGAGCTTAATTGCAAAATAATATTTGTCTACAAAAATTTACAACTATAAACATGTTTTAAGTTGCTTGTTGTGGACATATGACTACGCAATTAACAAAAAAATTGCAAAATATAAGCCCCGCCCACCCACCCTATCTCATTCGTAATGATTTTTTTTTATTCGTCGTAAGCCGAAGGGCGGAGCTTAATTGCAAACTACTTATGTTTCTGCGAGAAATTACCACGTGAAACGTCCTCTTAATGTAATCAGTCATGTTATTCAAAGAAAACTATATGTATTAAGTAAAAAAGAAAGCCAAAAGATAAGCCGCACCCATCCGTCTCTATCTCAGTCGTGATGAATTTCTTATTCATTGTCACACTAAAGGCGGAGTTTAATTGAAAAGTCCATATTTGCGTACAAAAATTTACCATTTTAAACATGTTTTAAGTTTATTGTTATGAAAATATGACTACACAATTAAGAAAAGAAAAGCAAACTATGAGCCCCGCCCACCCACCCTATCTTATCCGTGATTATTTTTGTATTCGTCGTAAGCTGAAGGGCGGAGCTTAATTGCAAAGTCCTTTTTTTCACGAGAAATGATCATATTAAATGTGTTTTAAATGTAATCATGTTGTTCAAAGAAAACTACATGTATTAAGTAAAAAAGAAATCCAAAAGATAAGCCGCACCCATCCGTCTCAATCTCAATCGTGATAAACTTTTTATTCGTTGTCAAACCAAGGGGCGGAGCTTAATTACAAAATCCATATTTGTCTATAAAAATCTACCATTTTAAAATGTTTTAAGTTACTTGTTGTGAAAAGATGACTTACGTAATTAAGAAAAAAGTAGCAAGATATCTAGCTATCTTACCCTCGTTATCGTATAAAATTTTCTTCTTCATTCATTCTTACTTTGATTGTTGTGTTTTTGTACACTTCCTTGATCCTGTCTATTAGATATTCACATTTCTTTCCTTTTTTCAAATATGCCCACATCTTTTTTCTATCTACAGTGACAAATGCAGCTTTTAGTTGTCTTCTTAGTTCTTTCTCTATCAACGGCTCCACTTTGTACTTTTCGTCTTTTTCTTTTATTTCAATCGTTTCCTGCGTTTCTTGTAATTCTGTACGCTCTGTTCTTTTCTTGCTCGCTCCTATCAATTCTATGAAAGTTTTTCCCATTACTCTTCCTATTTTTATTACCTAATCTTCTAGTTCCATGTTTCTTTCCTTTATCTTTTGTGCTTCTTTCTTCATTACTTCTTTTTTTTTGTTCCTAGCATTTGCTTCTATGTATTCTCCGAATTTGAGAAACTCTTCTCTTGTTATCTTTTGTTTTTTCAGTCATTTTTTCTCTCTCCACTTCTTGTTACAGTCATTTTGACCTTCATTTCTGCACTTTTTATCAGTTGTTTCGATTCAGACGATTTTGCTTTAAATTCTTTTTATATCCCCACTAGCCCTCTCATTCTATATTGTTCTCACATAATTTCCTGCTTTCTCCTCCTCTTTTTCCTGTTTTCTGTTATATTCCTCTATTTCAACCCCCAGTGACATATCTTTGGAACCTATCCTTTCTCCTACTTTAAACAGCTAAATTTCTTCCCGGGCTTTTTAATTCACTATTGCATAATCTATTACCGATTGTCCTCTGGGTCCTACATACGTTAATTCGCCTTCATCATCGCCAATTATATTTCCCTTCAAGATCTCCCACTATCTTTCTTCGACTGATTCCAACAATTGCTTTCCTTCCTAATTTTCATTTTTATGTTCAGATCTTCTTTTCCCTCATCTACGGTTTTGCCTCTTCTTCCACTTTTTTCCTATTCTTGAATTGAAATCTTCGCCTACAGTTACGTAGTCGTCACCATTTATTTCTATTGTGTCTTGTAATTTTTCTTTCATTATTGTCATGTTCTTACAATATACCGTTCCAATATACCATTTGTTTCCTTTTATTACGATAATCCATATGATTGATCCTTCTTCTTCTTCACTAGAGTTTATCTTCAATTCTTTCTTTTCTTGTTTTACCTGCACTATTATTCCCTCTTTACGTGTTCCTTTCTACATTTCCCTTTCTGCCTCTGACATAACCAGTTAAATTCCCTTGGCACTTTCTCTTTCATCTTTTTTCACCTTTTTACTATTTTTCTATCCATGTTTCTGTAAAACTATGATATCAAAATTCCCTGCAGACTCCCAAACATCATCTTCTTTATTCTTTAGTCCAATGAAAGGTATTAAAAAAAATATTTGCTTCTTTTTTCGTTCTACTGTTCAATTTCTTTCTTGTTATTGGCTCTTTCTCGAAATTATTTTAACGTTTTCATTTTTGCTTCTCGAGAGTAAGCGAAGGAAGTATTGTAATCGGGTACAAAAAAATAAGTCTCCTGTTTCCGTCTGTCCGTTTGTCTGTCTGCCGTCTCAGATTTTTATTAGACAGATAATCTCCGAAAGTACTTCCAAACGTGTTAAAGTTATTGTAAGCCTGGTAAATTGTTAATCAAAACATATCTGTTTATTCCCCCCAAAAAATTGATGACGCCATCTCAAAATTTTGCCGAATAAATTATACGCAAAATATGATGAGTTTTTACTTGTGGTTTATCAATGTATTAATATTTTTTAGTTTTGCTTTAAAAAAATTATTGAATGAGTTAATTTATTTTATTGATTGAATCAGGAACGACACACTTCATTTTGTCAGAAAATTTTGGGAATACAATACTGTTATTTTTCGTATTACACTGCACCAATCCCAGTTGATATACGTGTGATTGTTTTTTCTTGCACTGGTAATACGCTATGACTACTTTTCTTTTGTGCTGTAACTAATATTATCCATGTTGATGACGTTGTTAAAAATTTTTTATTGGTCAAATTAAGAACGAATCACCCCATTTTCTCAAAAATTTGAGGAATACGCACGTCTTTTTATAATAATGATACAAAAAGAATTAGAATATTTAGAACATTTTGTTCGATTGTGGTTGAGTTAATAATTTTAGTTTTGTGTTTTGAGAAGACAAACTCATTCAAATCAAACTAATTTCTACATGACATTTTTTCGATGTATAAACATAAATAAACACTTGAGCGTCAGATTGCTATTACCTAGTGTTGAAGGACAAGGGTTGTTAGAGATGGATTATTTTAAGTTCAACAAGGTGAGTCATCAGAATCTAACACCGGACTGTCAGTCAGTAGCGTAACATGCACACTTCAGAAGGAGGTGTTTATAAAAATAAACTTAAGTGAACTGGTCAACACCCTAGCACAAATGCGGATGAATCTATTAGGCACTAATCTAAAGAGGTACAGGTACCCATCTTGGTAGAAAAATTCACTATGACAGAGAAACGATGACGGACGCCTCTGAGGGTGCGAATTTTCTTTTTAATAGGAGAAATTTGTGATCAAGATTGATCATCTTCTGTTGCATTTTTTTCTAATGGGTCTTTAGTAACAATTTGATCTACAACACTCTCAGAGTTACTTAGATAAATACAAATTCAGTTGCTATATCCTAAAAAGATTGTATGTATTTCCGGGACGCATGATTTCATCATTTCCGACACTGCACAATGTAATTTATTTGTGTATTTACATACTCCTATTTATTTTTATTTATTTATTTATTTTTTGGGACAATGATTTGCGTTGAAGGCTTAGAAAGTTTGACTTGAAATTTAGATAACCTCAAAACTGCTCTTTATCAGGACATCTAAAAATCACGTCCTCAAAGTGCTGCATTGTGCCCGGCATCAAAGGATCCATTGTGAAGTCAAGGTAAAAAAACGTAAATAAAGTCGGAACACATGGTTGGCTCTTCAAATAAAGTATGACTAAAGATACACACTTTGAATTACTATGAGCAGTGATCACCAAAAACAAGTTTTTATATCATGCAACACTCTTCACCTTGAGCACCATAATTGTTTGTTAAAAATATTTTTTATGAAAACTTTCCTTGATAAAAATAAACTTTTGTGAAAAATGCGATGTGAGGGGTGGATCGATGAGGTTCGTGACAACTCTTCACATCCCACGAAAATGAACTTTATTGTCGTAACGGTGCTTTAAATATTGCTTTATAATAAGCAAAACTCATTTAACATGATTCATCTCCCCACGTGATCTTTCTGTTGCATTTAATAGCCCGTGTATTTAAAACCATTTGTTTGCTTATTGTAAATTCATTCAAAACAATTTGTTTACGCATGTGAAACAATCACACAGAATTTAAATAACGCCGATCCCACCCGACCACTACCGAAATGTATTTTAGTCAACATTGTGTAAACTTGGCCGAGTTGCGGCTGGTTTATGGTTTATCGTGAACGAGTGTACATGATTGCATTTAGTAATTCAAGCCAAGAAATCACACAAAATGGGCCTCTGTATCAGGTAATTTCGTAATTAATTGCGTGTCATGTCCTTGTCCGATAGCGTTAAAACACTGTTATCTCCATTTCTTTCAGTACCGTGATTACAGCGGATCATGCGCCGCAGGTAGTTGAGTTTATTTTAAACCATGATTCACTATATTCCGAGTTTTCAGCGTGAGCCACTAAACCAACCGGAATCACCAACACAGCCACTGACGGTACAAGAAGTGGTTCGGAAACAACCCAAGCGGACCAAAAATTTTGATGCTGATGATAACCCACTTCCCACTGCGGGTTGCTGTGTGTGTTGCATGGATCCTAACCTATGTAACCTTTGCTGTGGATGTGACTGCGGGGACTGTGTTTTGTGCTATTGGTGCCTTACGTGTGACTGTTGTTTAGAATGCGATGACTGTTGTGGACAGTGTCTATCGAATTGCATTTAAATTAGTGTTGAATGTCGACTAGTTTTCTACTTGTTGCTCTCTGTACAAATTTTGCTACTATTAATTTTTATACACACGAATTAAATAAAGATGTAATCTCGTAATATGTTATGTAAATTTAAAGAACGGTTTGGAAGAGAGGTTATGCTGATTAGCATTTTGTTGTGTGTAGGCAGCCAACAAAATCAATCACACACACCATCGCTCTTCTCAACATAGTTATTTATCAACCTTTTTTTTATAAACATATTTTGGTATTTAACAGTCTAAAATTAAAATTAATTGCATCAAAGTTACTGGCAATTAAAACAAAAAACAATGTAAATAAGGTAATCATGATTTAGAGGCAATTAAGATCCAGATTATTTATCCAAGAACGAATTCGGCCGAAAAATTAATTTAGCACGTGTAAGACTATTCCTGGCCAGATAGCAGCTTATTCATTATTAATGACGGTCAAACGGCTACAGTCATTGTAAACTCACCCCTACATGTGACGAAAAATAACTAGAAAATTCACAAAAAATTAAACACCGTCTTGTAAGAAAGCTTTTCTTTGTACAGCCTCAATCTCCTTGTAATGGATTGCTTAGGTGGGGTACCAAATAACTGCTCCGTACTCCAGTCTTGATATCACCAAAGAAAAAAATAATATGATAAGAGTTCGCTGATTCACAAATTCTCTATAATTGCGATAAATAAGACCTCTTTTAAGTGTAAGCAATAATGTCTTGTAAAATAAAACTTGCTGTCAAAACTGATACCCAAGTCTTTAATGCAGTCAAGTTTTTCCAATACGACACCTTTTAAATTAAGTGGGATTTACTCCTTTGCTAAGTTATTATTATTATTCTAAGTCCAATTATAAGCCAACATAAGAAGAATCATCTTAATCGTTCCAAGTAGCTAGAAGGATTACTACTGGTTTCTTATTAGAAAGTAATTAAGATGCTGTTTGTTGTTAAGCAGTATCCAATGCATAGATGAAGCGGAAGTGTTTATTAGATGCCGTACAGAAGATGTCAAAATCTGTGGCTGAATAAATGTTGACGATTTGGTGCAATGGTGACATTATCAGAATATTTGTTTTCCATGTACAATGCAAACGACAGTGTTTTCTAGAATTGAAACTAGGTACTCTAAAATAGAAATTTGCTAGCAGTTGGACAATCAATAGGATAGTTTAATAATTGATACAGAAATGTAAGGAAAAAAAGTTTTTGCTGAAATGTCTTTGAATTTTTTCCAGTGCATCTATATGGATTTTGTAAATAGGAGATTATACAACACTTGCGTATTCAAGTTTAGTTGTTACCAGTGTTTTATATAAGACAAGAAGCATACTGGGATTATTAAAATATTTAAAGTTGCAAAGTCTAGGGTTTTATGCGCTATTGAAGTAACTGCTTCAATGTGACATTCAAAGGAAAGTTTAGTGTCGAAGATAACACCGAGATCTTTAAATGTATTGGATTTTTTTTATGACTTGATTATGAATTACGTAATTGTACCTAATATTATTAATGACTTTTTTAGTAAACGATACCACACAACATTTGTCTCTATTAAGAATAAGGTTATTTTCAGAACTTCTGTTGTAAATTTTGTCGATATCCTGTTGTAGAATTCTTGCATTTAATAGGTAGGAACAATTTGAGGTCGTCAGCATAAAGCAAATAATGCACATTGAGGAAGTCTACAATGTCATTAATATAAATAATAAAGAACAATGACCCTGATAAAGATCCTTGTGGAACACTAGACTGCTGGATGAATTTAAAAAATTTAAAACCTCGATACTGCACAAATTGAGATATGAAGCAATAAATTTTCGTAATGACAAGAGAAATCAAGTTTATTTAACAGTATCTGATGATCCACGCGATCAAATGCCTTCGAGAAGTCGGTGTACACTACATCCACCTGCTAATGTTGATCCAGATTACTGCACAGGAATTGAGTTATCGATGTTAGATTACTAACAGTGGATCTCTTAGACATAAAACCGTGTTGACTGATGGATATTTTATTAAAACTATAGTGCGAAATACTTTCATAAACGATAAATTCGAACACTTTAGCAACATTGTTGATCTATCTCCTTTTTTAAAAACAAGACATACCTGAGAGGTTTTCCATTGCTGTGGAAATTGCCGTAAGAGTTGATAGTAACTTTGATAATTCAACTTTTGCTGTATTTAGAGGGCTTGTAGAAGAAAAGTGGCGGATTTGAGTTGATTACTACAAAAATTTATCATTTTAGACATGTTTTAAGTTTATTGTCGAAATAAGTCTACAGATATTAAGAAAAAAGGCAAAATGTAGCCCCGCCCACCCGCCCTATCTCAATCGTGATGATTTTTTTTATTCGTCGTGAGCCACGGTGGCGGAGCTTAATTGCAATATAATTATTTCTCTACAAGAAATTAAAAACATGTTTGTGAGTATCGTGTTATTCAAAGAAGACTAAGTATATTAAGGAAAAATTAAAGCCAAAGATTAAGCCCCACCCATACCCGCCCTGATCTAAATAGTAATGAAGTTTTCATTGGTTGCCAGACCTACGGACGGACTCTAATTGCAAAATCCATGTTTCCCATATTCTTGTAGACATATTTTAAGTTTCTAAGAATAAAAAATTCGTTCCAATTGGGGTGGGGTTAATATTTTGCCTTTTCTTTTTAATATACATAGTATTGTTTGAACAAAACATGTTTCTATTTTTTTGTACAGAAATAACAATTTTGTAGTTAAGCTCCGCCCCCTGGTTCACGATGAATAAAAAAAATCATCACAATTGTGGTAGGGCGGGTGGGTGGGCTTACATTTTGTCTTTTTGTTTTAATATGTGTACTTATTTTCACAACATGTAACTTAAAACATGCTTAAAATAGAACATTTGTATCAAGAAATATCGATGTATTAGGCTCCGTCCTATAATTGCAAAATCTATATTTCCTTGCAAAAATGTACCATTTTAACCATTTTTTAAGTTTCTTATTGTGAAAAGATGGCTGTGTATATTAAAAAAAAGGCAAAATATAAGCCCCACCTACCCGCCTTATCTCTAATCTGATGATTTTGTTTATTCGTCGTAAGCCGAGGGGCGGAGCTTAATTGTAAAATCCTCATTTTTCTACGAGAAATTACAATGTGAAATATGTACTTGTGTAATTCAAAGAAAACTAAATGTATTAATTACATAAGAAAACCAAAGAGAAGCCTCACCCATCCGTCTCGATCTCAATCGTGATGAATTTTTCATTTGTTGTCAGACCGAGAGGCGGGGCCTAATTGCAAAATCGACATATCCGTATACAAATTACCTCAGTTGTGATGATTTTTTTTTATTCCTTGTGAGCCAAGAAGGCGAAGCTTAACTGCATAATCTTTACTTCTGCACGAGAAATTAAAAACATGTTTTTGAATATCATGTGATTCAAAGAATTAGTACTATGTAAGTTTATTAAAAAAAAATTAAAGCCAAAGATTAAGCCCCACCCATACCTGCCTTGATACTAAATATGTAATGAAGAAGTTTTCATTCATTGCCAAGCCTAGGGACGGAGCCTAATAGCAAAATCCATATTTCTCTACAAAAATTTACTGTTTTAAACATATTTTAAGTTTCTAAGACTAAAAAAAATTCGTCACAATTGAGATCGGGTGGGTGGGTGGGGTTAATATTTTGTGTTTTCTTCTTAATACACATAGTATTATTTGAACAACAGGATACTAAAAAACATGTTTCTAATTTTTTGTAAAAAATAACTATTTTGCAGTTAAGCTCCGCCCTCTTGATTCACGGCCAATAAAAAAAATCATCAGAATTGAGATAGGGCGGGTGGGTGGGCCTACATTTTGTCTTTTTGTTTTAATATGTGCAGATTTATTTTCGCAACATGAAACTTAAAACATGTTTCAAGTGGAAAATTTGTATAAGGAAATATCGATGTATTAGGCTCCGTCCCATAATTGTAAAATCCATAAGTATTTCCTTGCAAAAATGTGCGATTTTAACCATGTTTTAAGTTTCTTGTTGTGAAAAGATGGCTATGCATATTAAAAAGAAGAGGCAAAATATAAGCCCCACCCACCCACCCGGTCTCAAATCTGATGATTTTTTTATTTTTCATAAGCCGAGGGATGGAGCTTAATTGTAAAATCCTTATTTTTCTACGAATTTACAATGTGAAATATGTTATATTGTGTTATACAAAGAAAACTAAATGTATTCATTAAATAAGAAAACCAAAACAAAAGCCTCACCCATCCGTCTCGATCTCAATCGTGATGAATCTTTCATTCGTTGTCAGACCGAGGGGAGGGCCGTAATTCCCAAATCGACATTTGCGTATACATATTTACAATTTTAAACATGTTTTAAGTTTCTTGTTGCGAAAAGATGACTACATATATCAAGAAAAAAAGGCAAAATGTAACCCCGCCCACCCTATCACAATTGTGATGATTTGTTTTATTCGTCGTGAGCCAAGAAGGCGAAGCTTAACTGCATAATCTTTGTTTCTGTACGAGAAATTAGAAATATGTTTTTGAATATCGTGTTGTTCAAAGAATTAATACTATGTATATTAAGAAAAAAATATAGCCAAAGATTAAGCCCCGCCCATACCCGCCCTGAACTAAATAGTAAAGAAGTTTTCATTCATTGCCAAACCTAGGGACGGAGCCTAATTGCAAAATCCATATTTCCCTACAAAAATTTACTGTTTTAAACATATTTTAAGTTTCTAAGAATAAAAAAATTCGTCACAATTGAGATCGGGTGGGTGGGTGGGGTTAATATTTTGGGTTTTGTTCTTAATATACATAGTATTGTTTGAACAACAGGATACTCAAAAACATGTTTCTAACTTCTTGTAAAAAAATAACTAATTTGCAGCTAAGCTCCGCCCTCTTGGTTCACGGCGAATAAAAAAAATCATCACAATTGAGATAGGGCGGGTGGGTGGGCCTACATTTTGTCTTTTTGTTTTAATATGTGCAGACTTATTTTCGCAACATGAAACTTAAAACATGTTTAAAATGGAAAATTTGTATAAGGAAATATCGATGTATTAGGCTCCGTCCCATAATTGTAAAA